TATATATATATATATATATTTTTTTTTTTTTTTTTTTGTAAACTAAGTTATCCTTTAGTTATAAGCTAAGGACTAATTCTTAAAGATACTGTATTGAGAAAAATTCAAATCTCACATTGATTAAAGATAAAATGATTAAAAAGTATTTAAGTGGAGAACAATTCTTACCTTACAAATTGTTTGGTAGGATTGAATTAGACTTAAATTTATTATTTTAAGATAGTATTAGAATTATCATAAATCATTAAAAAAGATGTTACCTATTCTAGATTATTAAAAAGGAACAACCATCATTTATCCACGTATCAAGTCTAATAGTATTTTTTGTTTATTAGGGATCAAACTTTTAATCACATAAAGGTCAAAGTTGTTTTCAAACTATGTTACACCTTATTGGTGTACTACTAATTTTAAATCGCTATTTACAAATCTTAACATTTTTATAAGTTAAATCACACACTTTAAATAATGTGATTAATCTCCAAAATCTATCAACACCCAACACTAGATTCATAACTTGTTTAGCTTTGCTTTTACTAATACGTAGGCAAGTAGCCATATTTATTATAAAAATTAAAGTAAAAGAAAGGTTTCTCTTCGTACCAACAATCCTTCTTTAACATGATTTTTTCTTTGGCAACGAGAATAAGGTAAAACTCTTATTTTCTTGGAGAACCTTAAGTTTTTTCCTTTGTTGTTATTAAAAGATTGTGCATTTTGAAACTAACATCTGGTATTTTTTTTCTTCTTGAAAAACACAAAAATTCTGTCACTTCTTATTGATACCTTATGCTCTTGAACTCGAGACTTAAGTTAGATTTTCTTTTGTAGAGAATTTCTTTCAAAAAAATAGAAATTATATTTTTTTTGTACAACTAATGATATTTCATATTCATTGAACTAGAAACCGATTTCAGTCGAACTGTAACTATCGTTGGTTGAAAATTTTTATGCAAATGAGTTTATCAAACTTTTATTTATTAGCTTTTATATTTGGAACTAAATTGTAATAGCATTCTATTCTTAAAAAAGGGAAACAAATTGATAATATTTTTAAATCTAAATAACACCTTAAAGATTTTGAAACATAAAAAATAAGTTTAAAAAATTAAATTATTTATTTTTAAGTTAAAGATATTTAAATATATTCTCAATAATTTGTTGGCTAACTATTTTGTAGAAATATTAACTTCAAACTTTTCATATATCAAAACTATAATATTTTTTAAAAACTTCTGATCTATAAATGTTGTATCATCAAGACGGCACATATGATTTACAATATTATTAACATGTCAAAATAATTTTTAACATATTCCTTATCCTTCTTTTTTATCAACTCAAATTCTCTCTCTATTATGAGGAGCCTAAAAGATTTCATTTTGTTATTATCCTTAAATTCATCTTAGATTTTATTCCACACTTTATTAGGTACTTCAAAGTACATGATTTTTTTTTAATGAAAATGTGATCTACAAGTATTGAATTCAAGGAAGTGATGACTTTATTTTTCTTCTGCCACTCCTTGACACATAGCCTTTAATTTGAATAATAGTGAAATTTTCTTTTAATGATAGTGGTTCAACTTCAAAATTCTCAATATTTCATAAACTTTGAGATTGTATAAAAAAACTTAATCTTTACAGCTTAAATATGATAATTTATACCATTAAATATTAAAATTATAGATGACTTGGTGAAATTAAATGTATTGCATCACAATAATTTTATTACATTTGTTATATTAATAATGACACAATTAAATAGAAAATAATTATAATATAAAACTCAATAAAATATTTACAAAACATCATATATTAATACAGATTATTTAATTCACATCTGTGTAACAAAATCTATAATGTATTTATATATTTTTTTTAAATGTAAATAGATTCATAAATATATTTCAATGAGATAAGTTTTGTATAAGTAGTTAAAACATATAGTAGTACAATTTATAAAGAAGATTTAAAGACAAATTAATTAAAAAAATGTGAAAATGGATATAGTCATTACAATAACTATAGATTATTATTATTATGATGATAAAAAATATTATTATTATGAAAATAAATATTACTATTATTGTTATTATTTTTAAAATCATTATTTTTTATCACTATTGTTTATGTAATTTTTATTTAATAGGAATTTAAAAATATATAATTTGTGAAAGAATTACAATGATAGGGTTAGTTTCAAAACAGCATACTTTGTAATAAGACCCTCCTCACGGGCATTTTCTTGTGGTCAAAAACTTTTCAAAGAAAAAATATAACTTTTTATATCTGAAAAAATTGTACCCAAAATTTAAAAGTAAAATTGTACCTAAAATTTAAAACTAAAATATCTCTCTTGTTTTAATTTTTAAAAATTGTAAATATTAAAACTAATAGCTATATTGAATAAGACTTTAGTAGTTTCAAAAAATTGAGTTTTTATTTTTTTTTCCTGTTATGAGTATTTATTGGTATAAAAACTAATTTTTCTGGTAATATTGGATTACTATTGGTGTGAAGGTTTTCGCACACACAAAAATTATATACCAAGATTTCATTAAATAGATGATATTTATCTTATTATTTTATTATCTTAAAAATACTTATTAAAAAGTATGTCTAAATTAGAACATGTTTTAATATAAAAGTTATTGTTTACAAGACGTTAATTATGTGTGACAACAAATGCTAATTATATTAACGGAAAATTAATTAGAAAAATGGATAAAAACTGAATGCAAAAGAATGGCTAAACTAAAAATACTTAAAATATATTTAAATTTATATATAAACATGTACCGTCTCGGTCGTGGACCGACCGGATCTCCTTAACGGTGATAAGGCGTCAACAGCCCTATACTCAGCAATTACCCGACTAGGCAACCAGGCCCTAAACCCTCTCGCCTTATGGGTACTCGGAAATAAGGTGACCATGATTTCCTTCTCGGCATTAACCCGACGTAGGGTTCAGTACAAGCCTATTCGGTCATAGCCCGACTTGGCTTAGCGAGCTCGATTCCTCTTGCCTACCAGGGAACCACTCGGCACTTATCTCGTTGGATTTTCGGTATAGGCCCTGTCGGTCGGACCCCGACTAAGCTCATTCCCGTTGATATCGCATCATCGTGATAAGAACAGTTAGGGAAATCCGTTGATCCTCGGGGTCCAAAAGGCCCACGAACAACGCACCATAAAGCCTGAAACCCTAGTTAATAATTGTATTAAATATATAATTTTTTTTCCTAATAGTTATGTTGTATGTGATTTTTCTTTTCGTTTCTCAAGGCAATTTTTTCTTAATTAAATTTTGATATTTGTTAACACCTCAAAAATCAACTTTATATACATGAAGAACTAATAGAATTTCACTTCTGTTAATTAATCTCTTTATAAAGTTTTTTTTTTTCAAACAATAAACACTGATAAATCAAGTACCTATGTAATGTATAACCTAGCTATGTCAAATATATTTTACGTTATTGATTTTACGTTTTAGATGAAATTCTTCAGATCATCAGATGTGATTTTTAGAAATTAATAATTATAACTTTCATATTCCTATCGTGTTTTAATCTTTCTCAACGAGTTTTCAAATACATGTAATTACTCAAATACAAATATTAAATCTTTATATCAATGAAAATATATAACAATGCGATAAACACTGTAGCGTGGGACTTATAAAATAAATTGAAGTATAAGAATTTTCTGAAAAGTAATCATATAATCTTTTTTTTTATTTAAATGATTTAATTTCTAATCACTAACAATCATAAAGGTTCAAATATTGTATACGAAGTATTCATTTTTAAAAAAGTAAAAATGTGTATTTTATTGGTGAAGGTTACGAATAATGTGTTACTACTTACTAGTAGGATACGAATAATTTCAAAACAATAATTATACCTCGCCCAAAATGCACGTGTTGATTTGAGATCGATAAGACAAGAGAAAGAAAGGCTAACATCATGTAATTA